AATATGGGGAATTGGATCAAGCGAAAAAATACATTTACTCTTGCCTCATGTTTTTTTTTTTTTTTGAGAAAAGTAAAGATTTCTCAAATATAAAGAGAAGACATGGAAAAAAAAGAAGGGAAAAAAGAATGTAAAAATAAAGAGAAGACAATTACTTTGAACGGATGGTTTGTTTGTTGCGGTATATATGAAAGTGTGAGAGAGGGGTTGGAAATCAATTAAGTGAGATATGAGAGAGAGAGTGAGAGATAGTAAAGAGAGAGGGCCGCCTTGTATGATAATGCATTGTAACCTCAACGTTGAACGATACAGTAAAGGAAGAGTCAGATGATAAATCGGGAGAGGATGGTTCTTACTTTGCATTCCTTTGTGGGAAAAAAAACCCTCCATCTATCGTGTGGCTTGTCGTCAGTTCACTCTCTCCTCCTCCTCCACCTCCTCTCAGCATCCTTCGTGTACATCTTCCTCGGGTGCCCTCTTCAAACTTGAACTAACGCCCGAGGTTTTAATGCACTTGTCTACTTGAGATGCGTTTCATAAAGACACGTATATTCCGAATGCTGTTGAACGTGTGTCTCTTTCCTCCCCCCCCCTTCACTTCTTTTACCCCCTTCTTGTCAAGTGCTCTCCTTTCTGTTACTCTCTTTCTTTCTCTCTCTCAAATGAGAAATAGAGTTTCAGAAATAAAAAAAAAGTGAGTATAGACTCAAAGAATTTTCATGAAAGGAGAAAAGATGATAAACTCATAAAAGGAAATGAAGGAAAATCTTATTCTCTTTATTTTTGTATTTTTTCTTCTTTATAAAGTGAATATGGGAAAACAAAAAGAATAAGAAGAAGAAGAAGAAAGAAGAAAATAAAAGAGAAGATATTTTGTCTTCTCTTGTTAAAATGGGTAAACAAAAAGAAAGAGAGGAAAAATAAAATCAAAGAGAATAAGGTGAAAGAAAGAGAGAAAAATAAAATTAAAAGAAAAAAGGAGCGAGGACAAAACAAAATGAGAGGAAAACAAACAGAAAGAGAGAAAAAAGAAAGAAATTGGAGAAAATGGAAAAAGGATAGAGAAAGAAGAAGAAGAAGAATAAGGAAGAGGAAACAGAAGAGTAAAAGTAAAAGAGACAGAGAGAGAGAGGAAAAGAAAAAAAAGAGACAAAAAGAAAATTAAAGGAAAAAAAGAGCGAGGACAAAACAAAAAGAGAAGAAAAGAAAAAGAAAGAGAGAAAAAAGTGAGAAATTGGAGAAAATGGGAAATAGGATAGAGACAGAAGAAGAAGAAGAAGAAAGAGGAAAAAGGAGAATGAAAGAGGTGGAGAGAGAGGAAAAGAATAAGAAAAGAAAACGTAGAAGAAAAAAAGAGAAAAAAAATTAATGGAAAAAAGGAGCGAAGAAAGAAAGTAAAGAAAACGTAGAAGAAAAAATGAGACAAAAAGAAAATTAATGGAAAAAAGGAGCGAGGACAAAACAAAAAGAGAAAAATCGAAAAAGACAAAAAAGCGAGAAGAGAAAGAAGAAATAATGCAAAGAAATATTGAAAATAAAAGGAAAAGAGAGAGAAAGAAAGAGAAAAACAGAAAAATGAAGAAAAAGCGATAAGTAGAAAGAAAAATGGAGAAAAAATGAGATAGAAGAGAAAACAGAGATTTTGAGAAAGAGAAAAAAGAAAGGATAACGAAAAAGGGAGAAGAAAAGAAAGAAAAATTAGGAGGAGAAAGAAGAAAAGTGAGGTAAAGAATAAAAAATGAGAAGGAGAAATAAAATGTAACAAGAGCGAGAGGAGGAGATGAAGAAAAAGAAAAAGGAATGAAAAATTAGAATGAAAGAAAGAAGATAAAGAGTGAAAAAAGGATAAGAAAATGGATAACAATGAAGAATAAAAAATAATAAAGGATAAGAGAGAGAGAGAGAGAGAGAGAAAATGAAGAAAATAGAAAAGAAAAATTGAGATAAGAAAGAGAGAGAAAACTAAAAATATCCAAAAAAAGGAAGAGAGGAAACGAAAAAGACATGAGAAAAAAGAGAGAAAGAGAAGATTAAAGGATTAGAGAAGAATAGAAAAAAGAAGAATAGAAGGAAGAAAAGAAGAAGAAAAGAAAAGAAACCGAGAAAGAGAGAAAACGGAAAAAAGGAGAAAATAGGAAAAGAAAGAAATGAAAAAGAATGAAAAAAGGAGAGAAAAAGAAGAGAGAGTAGAGGAAGAGGGAGAATAAAGAATAAAATAAAAATAAATAAATAAATAGAAATAAAAAGATAGTGAAAAAGAAAGGAGAAAAAAGTTGAAGAAAAGAAAAAGATATTGAAGAAGGAGAAGAGAAAGAGATGAAGGAGATAAAAAATGGATGCAAAAAGAGAAAAAGGAAAGGAAAACGAAAGATGAGAAAGAGAGAAATAAAAGTAATAAATAAGTGACAGAAAATGGTAAAAACGGACAAAAAAATTTGGAAAAAAATGAAAGAGAATAACAAAAAAGCGAGAAAACTAGTGAGAGGGAAAGAGAGAGGGAAAAAAGGGAGAAAAAACTAGAAGAGAGAGAGAGAGAGAGGGGGGGGGAAGAGAATAAACCAAAGAAGAGAGAGAGTAAAAAAGAGAGAAAACAAAACTAGAGAGAAAAAGAGAGAAAGAGAATGAAAAATGAAGAGAAGAAAAAAAGGCGAAGAGACGAAAATAAAGAAAGATTAAAAAAGAAGAGAAACATTGCAAAAAGAGGAAAGTAAGAGAGAATAAGAAAAAAAGAAAGGAAAAAGGAAACCAGAAATAGAGGAGAAAAAAGAAGGAGAGATATAGAGAAAAAAGGAAAGAAAGAAATAGAGAAAAAAAGAAAGAAAATTAGTGAAAAAGAGAAAACAAGAAATAGAGGAAAAAATAGAAAACGGAAAAGAAAAAAGAAAAGATTGAGAGAAAGAGAGATTGAAAGAGGTAGAGAAAGAAGGAGAGAGGAAAGTAAAGAGCTCGAGAAGAAAGCAACGACCATATACACACATACCTAACGAGATAAAATGCATTTTAAAATTCCCAAGCTTATACACTGCAATGAGAGACAGAGAGGCAAAATGAGTCTGAGATTCACTTTGCACGCACATCTATATAATCCTAAGCGCGTGGGGCATGTTCGTGAGAAAAAAAGAGAAGAAAAAGTGCACGAAGATGAAAAAATAAAAGAATCCATTCTCGGAATAAGAGAGGAAAGCTTTGTCCATCGTGTGCTCATGTAACGTGCAATGAAGTCTTTATCCCCTGCTATATAATATATACATATACGCTATATGCCCTTTGAGGAAAATAATAAAACCACAAAGCCCTCATGATTGTTCATCTCTGGGGATTATTTGTCATATATCCCCGTTTACACGATTATATAAAATCTTCTCAAAAAAAAAAATAAATAAATAAAATAAAATCTTCTTTTCTTATACAACAATCCTCGACAATATTTTCTACTAGCAATCTATATTTTGCGATATAAAAAATCTGTATCTGTAAATATGTTTGTATTTTGTAATTTTTCTCGAAATTTTTATTTGTTTTTTCTTATTCCGAATTCTTTTTTTTTTCTTTCGCCTTTTCTACTTCTTTTCCACGTACAATTTTAATGTCTTCTGGATATAAATAGTTTATAGTTTAATTCAATTTTTTCGACGTCTGACCATTCGCGAGTTGTACTACTTAATATTTATATTTAAAGCCCTTCGATTTTTTTCGACGTTTGACCATTCAGGAGTTATACTACTTAAAAATTAGGACTTCACTTGAGTAAAGTCTCTATATTAAAATATTCACTGTCTGACCATTTACAAGTTGTACTACTTAAAATTTAGGACTTTACTTGCGTAGAGTCTTTATTAAAATTTCACTGTCTGACTATTCGCGAGTTATACTACTTAAGATTAGGGACTTTAATTCACTAAAGCCTATTATTATTATTGAATTTTTTTTCGACTTCTGGACATTCACGAGGTATACTACTTAGGAATTAGGACTTCACTTAAGTCTGTATTAAAATTTCCCTTGTCTGACCATTTACGAGTTATACTTCTTAAAAATAAGGACTTCAATCAAGTCTGTATTAAAATTGTTCCTGTCTGACCATTTACGAGTTATACTACTTAAAATTTAGGACTTTACTTGACAAAGTAATATTACTCTTTTCTAACGTCTGACTATTCACGAGTTGTTCTACTTAAGAAGAAAGACTTCTCTTGAGTAAAGTCTTCTTTAAACAATTCACTGTCTGACCAAAAAGGGTAAATTCCACTTAAATCTGGCTGAGACAATATTTACTACTATTTAGTAGGGAAATATCTAGTCTAAAGTAGAAAATACTATTATAAAGTAGAAAATTTAAATTTAAAGTAGAAAATACTTTTATAGAGTAGAAAATTATAATTTAAAGTAGAAAACACTATTATAAAGTAGAAAATTTTACTTTAAAGTAGAAAATACTATTATAAAGTAGAAAATTTTACTTTAAAGTAAAAAATACTGTTATAAAGTAGAAAATATTACTTTAAAGTAGAAAATACTTTTATAGAGTAGAAAATTATAATTTAAAGTAGAAAGCACTATTATAAAGTAGAAAATTTTACTTTAAAGTAGAAAATACTATTATAAAGTAGAAAATTTTACTTTAAAGTAAAAAATACTGTTATAAAGTAGAAAATATTACTTTAAAGTAGAAAATACTTTTATAGAGTAGAAAATTATAATTTAAAGTAGAAAGCACTATTATAAAGTAGAAAATTTTACTTTAAAGTAGAAAATACTATTATAAAATAGAAAATTTTACTTTAAAGTAAAAAATACTGTTATAAAGTAGAAAATATTACTTTAAAGTAGAAAATACTATTATAAAGTAGAAATCTACTACTATTTAATAGAAAATACTACTGAAAAGTAGAAAATACTTTTCTACATTAAAAAGATGCTACTATTCAGTAGAATATATAATAATTTTTTCCCATCGATTATTTAGAGAGTATAATTATTATTATTTTAAATTAACTCACCTCTCTTGTCTGGTTCTTGCACCAGCCGACTCTCCGTTACGGCGTCATTTGTCAATCTAGAAAAAGAAAAAAATTCTCAATAAGTACGTGAAGCAAAAAATTATTAGTTTCTTAAATTAATAATTTTATTAAATTTAATTAAGTTAAGTTAATTTAATTGAATTTAATTGAAATAAGTTAATTTAATTAAATTTAATTGAATAAAGTTAATTTAATTAAATTTAATTTAATCAATTTGTTTTTACTGAAAACTAATAATTAATATTTTAATTAAATTTAATTTAATCTAATTGTTTGTACTAAAATCTAATAATTAATATTAATCGGAGAAGAATTTAAGGAAATAAAATAGAATTCTTAACTGGGACACCAAAAAAGTAAACAAAAAAAAAAAGAAACTTAAATGACGCGAATGCATAATTGTCGTGTGGAAAAAACAACTCGAAAATCTATGCGCTTTAAAGGGGCCTAAGTTCCGTGACGAAAACAAAGAATATAAAAGAAGGGAGCGATTCTCTCTACGCAATTATCATTATCGTTGTACAGTCATTGCGAAGCAGCCGCACGAAATTGTTTCTCTTTTTCTCTATGTTTATATGCGTTGTTCTCTCTGTTTGTATTTCTTCGAAAGAAAAAAAAAAATTACCAAATTTTTTTCAAAATATTTAAGATTTTTTTTTTTTTTATAATAAATTAAAATTAACACAATTTTCCTAAGGACATGAAATTGAGACAACAAACGAATCAAAATGTTGCAATTTATAAAAAAAAATTATTAATTTATTATTAATTTATAAACAAATAAGAATATCAAATTGAGACAAAAAAAAAGGATCAAAATTATTGCGATACATTTTTCGGTCTCAATTTGATATTCTTTGAAAAAGGGTGTAAAAATTAATAAATAGTATAGTGTATTTATTTATTTATTTAGTAGTGTAATTAATTTTTGTTTCTAAAAAAAATTATTAAAACAAAATAAACAAGACTATATAATAACATTTTTACAATATTGAAAAGAAATGAGATAAAAATCTTACGAGTGAAAAGAAAACGATTTAATTTAAATTTCTCTCTAAATGAAAATCATTCAGACGTGGCTAATTTTTTTTTTTTTGGCGTCAGTTTATTCACGGGGTGACAAAATAAAAAAAAAAGAAGGAAATTAGTGTGAGAAGAGGGCCGGGAATGTAAAGATTGAGAAGAAAGGAGAATTTTTTTTTTTTTTTTTGAATGTGAGAGATGAGAGCACGCGAGAAGACGAGCGCTGGTGACTCTTTATTTTTCTCACGAAGTCGAGGTCCCGGAGTATATAAGAGTTCTTCGCGATGTAATTAGCATGTCTTTACAGAACGTACGAAACAATGGGCACGTGTAATTAGTATGCATCTCGCGGTGGCACACGGTACCCATGGTTCCTCCCCCCTTTTTTTCTCCCTTATTTTCCCTCCCTCCCCCCTCTTTGACACTCTCCTTTAGATTTCAACTCTCTGAATATGATGTTTTTACTTCTCTCTTCAATTTTTTGTCGCGTATCTCTAAAAAAAAACTTTTCCCCTTCTTTATATGTGTGTACACATTACCCCCTTGTGCAGCATCCCGTGAGGCGTTTGCTATCGAAGCCTGTTACGCAGCTCGGTTATAGGAAATTTAATTTTCTATGTAAATATATTAATATCAAGCAGATATAGATGTATAATTACATATTTAGAAGTCTATTTACACATGTGGAATGTAATTACACATATAGAAGTTTTTTTTACACATATAGAATGTAATTACACATGTAAAAGTATTTTTACACATATAGATGTATAATTACACATATAGAATATATTTACACATATAGATAAGTAATTACACATATAGACGTGTATTTTCACAAATAGAATGTAATTACACATGTAAAAGTATTTTTACACATATAGATGTATAATTACACATATGGAATATATTTACACACATAGATATGTAATTACACATATAGACGTGTATTTTCACATATAGAATGTAATTACACATGTAAAAGTATTTTTACACATATAGATGTATAATTACACATATGGAATATATTTACACACATAGATATGTAATTACACATATAGACGTCAATTTTCACATATAGATGTACAATTGCACATATAGAAATATATTTACACATGTAGATGTATATTTACACATATAAGTGTATTTACACATATAAGTGTATTTATTTATTTACAAATATTTAATAATTCCTTTGCCCATTAATAATTACCAACGCAAGGGTTTGTCCCGTTTAGAAGTAAATAAAAATTTCAAATTGAAAAATCAACTAGAAATTGAAAATAAATAAATGACACTTCTTGTACTTTAAATTTCCCGCCTATTTAAATTCGAATCCAGAGTAGTTAGCTCGTTAGTATACTATATTAGTAAATAGAAATTGTGAGTACACAAAAAAAATGTTTATCGCATTTAAAGAAAACGAGTAAAAATGAAAAAACAAAAAAAAAATGGAAAACAATGTGTGTGGGAAAGTGTTGATAATTTTTTTTTTTACACCGTTAAATATCGAAAATGAGAAACGAGGGTTGAAATTGCACAATAATAAACTTCCGCGTGAATGCATTTTGCCGTGATCTGATTTAGGTCAATGTCATGGATCAATGACAAACATTTTCGAATATGGAACGAATATTGAAATTACCGAGCGCAACGAACTTTCTGCATAATGAGTCAAAATTGACTGTATTCGTGTCTGAATACACATATATATGTGTTTATGTACGTATATACATTTGTGCAGAGATCTGGGTTTATATTTATATTATACGCTCCCGTGTGCAATATGTACGTTTAAATGAATGTGTATTTGTATTTTTATATTTATTTTCACATGTGAATGTAGATTTTCACATGTGAATGTAGATTTTCACATATAGACTATATTTACACATATAGATGTATATTTTCACATGTAGACTATATTTACACATATAGATGTTTAATTACACATGTAGACTGTATTTACACATATAAACGTATAATTGCACATATAGACGTATATTTACACATATACATATATAATTACACATATAGATGTATATTTTCACATGTAGACTATATTTACAAATATAGATGTATAATTACACATGTAAATCTATATTTCACATATAGACGTATAATTGCACATATAGACGCATATTTACACATATAGATGTATAATTACACATGTAAATCTATATTTCACATATAGACGTATAATTGCACATATAGACGCATATTTACACATATAGATGTATATTTTCACATGAAGACTATATTTACACATGTAGATGTATAATTACACATTTAGACTTATATTTCACATATAGATGCATAATTACACATATAAACGTATATTTATAGAAATATATATTAAAAATTACACATATATATGTAAATTTATCTACAAATAAATAATAAAAAAAATAAATAAAAATAAAATTTATAAATAATGCACATGTGGATGTATAACTTCACATCTAGATTTATAATTATATATATATATATATATATATATATATATATATATATATATATATATGGAAAGAGAGTGCGAGAGAGATCATTTGGTGATTGAAATTCCGCACTTTTCGAAAGTTCATGAGCGCATGTGTGTTAATGTGAATATTTTCATTTGATTGCTTTAATTAAACTCGTTATCAGGCGTTGACCTTCGAAGTTCACCGACACACACGGCTGTTGCTGTGCATAATACGACCATACGCTCGCCAATTATCGACATTATTAATTGCAACAAATTTCATATTTTTGGTCCCCATATTCCCCAATTCCCCTCGGGCTAAAGCTGACGCCACCGAATAGCGCCATTCAAAAATTCCGATTATAACTTGAATTTTCTATTATTAAAAAAATGGAAGAATGAAAAAACGAAGAAATCATTGGAAATTGATAATTCAAAATTCTTGGGGGAAAAAAATTTGCACGTTCCACTTTTATGATATTTAATTGTTTTAATCAAACTTTTTTTTTTTGCTCCTCTCGATTTTATTATTTAAGCGCTATTTCATCTGTTTAATTGATAATTTTTTTTCTTTGCGAATTAAATTCCGGGTTTTGAATGAAAATTAAATTAATAATTAATTACTTCTAAGATTTTATTGAAGAAACTTAAAAAAAAATTTAATTAATTAATTGGTCGGAATTATTTAATTCGTTAATTAATTACAATCGAAATTAATTATTCGTCAATTATTTAAATTTGCTAATTAATTAAAATTGTAATTAATCAATTTGACAATTATTTAATTCGCTAATTAATTAATATCGTAATTAATTAATTTGGCAATTATTTAATTCGCTAATTAGTTAAAATCGTAATTAATTAATTCGGCAATTAATTAATCGTAATTGTTAATAATTATTAAGAGCAGTAATTAATATTGCTGATTTTACTACATTGATTTAAATAATTAACGCTTAAAATTAGTTTTCTAAGGAATCAAAAATTTTTTTCCAAACTGTTAAAAATTGCATAATTTTTATCAGTTTGGGGAAAAATTTTCAATTCCTTTTGGATTTTAAGAGAACTTTAAAATAGAAATCTCAGACTTTTCTCCCAAGTCTTTCAAGATATAAGGCATTAAGTAAAGCTTTTTTCTGCGAGTACCACTCGTTCTGTATTCTAAGGGCGTAACCTTTTTTTCAGCATTAGTTTAATGTCTTCTTAAAAAAAAAGAAAAAAAAAAAAATGAGACCACTTTGAATAAAACATGTGAAAAAGTATAAAAAATATTTTTCGAAAATAGAAAAAATCGTTTTCGAAATTATAAAAATAATTTTTGAACATATAAAAATAGTCTTTGAAAACAAAATTATTTTTCGAAAATATAAAAGTATTTTTCGAACAAAAAAGTTTTTTTGAAACATAAAAGTGTTTTTCGAAAATTTTTCCTAAACTTTATTTTAGAGAAATTGTGAAAAAGTAATTAAATTTTTTTGTTTCTTGTAAATTTAATGAATCGTGGGCAAAAAAAAGTTTTTATTCGAACAAAAAAGGACAGAATAAAAT